CAGGAAGGCTGATGTTTCGGGCCTAGACCCTCCTTCAGAATTAGTGGTAGCAAAGGATTGAGCAAGTTTTAAAGCCAACAAAAATGTCATAAAAACCATTTTAATTCACTAAATCTGTGGAAGGAAATCTGTCCTTTCCTAGTCTGGCCTACATGTGACTCCAGACCTACAACCAGACTTGGTTGACTGTTAACTGCCCTCTGGGAAATTAGAGATAGGCAGTAAATGCTTGCCAAATCAGTGATGCCTGCATCCCATGAAATGTTTATTTTTAGAAATGAGGTTAAACTAGTAAATAAGTTAAAAGCAGATAGTAAGAGCTTCTTTAAATATATGTTAAATTTTATAAAGGAAGCGAGAGGCCAATGTGAACATAGGCCCCTTAGAGAATAAGGCTGGGGAAATACTGTGGAATCAGGAAATTATAGAGTTGATTCAATATTTTTCATAAGTTTTTGGTAGAAGACATCAGTTGTATTCCAAAATTCAAAGGGCAAAAGGTGAAGAGGAAATTAGTAACTAATATATAGAAGTATACTAGGGAAACTAATAGGTTAAAGACCAATATGTCTCCTGGACACGATGGGTTGTTTTCTAGAATATTAAAGGAAATGGCTATAGAGATATTGGATGCACTGGTAGTATTCCTTGGATCCTATAACAGTCCCAGAGGATTAGAAAGCTGCCAATGTAACAGCCTCCTTCAAAAGAGGAGACAATAAACAGATAATTTTAGGGCAGTTAACATCTGTAATTGGGAAAATATTCGTCTATTATAAAGGATATCAATAGAGCATTTAGACATAATACAATCAAGCAAAGTCAGCATGGTTTCACTAAGAGAAAATCATTACTGACAGTTTTGTTAGAATTTTTTTGAGGCAGCAGAAAGCAGAATAGATAAAGTAGAACCGTTAGAAGTAATATGTTTGGATTTCCGAAAGGCATTTGATTAGGCACCACGCATAAAACTACTTAAAACAATAAGATGCTGTGGTGTTTGGGGTAGTGTATTAGCATGCATGGATTGGTTAACAAGTAAAAGACAGAACTGGGACTTCCAGGTGGGCAACTTGTAACTGGTAGAGTGCCACAGGGAGCCCTGCTGGGGCCCTAGTGTTGACCCTATATATTAATGACTTGGATGAGGAAAGTGAATACACTGTCAGTTTGCGGATGACACAAAATTAAGTGAGAACGCATTAGTGAGGATGACAGAGAAATATAGACAGCTCGAGTGGGCAAAAACTTGGCCGATGGAATATAATATTGGTAATGGGATTATGCACTGTGGCAAGAAGGAATAGAGGACGCAAATAATTTTAATGGAGAAAGCTGCAAGACAGAGGGATTGGGAGTCCTCATGCATTAGTCACAAGCTAGAATACAGTTCAGCAGGTAATAGAGAAGGCAAATGGAATGTTGGTCTTTATGTCAAAGAGAATTGAATAAAAAGTAGGTAAATCGTGTTAGAACTATACAAGGCAATAGATGGACCACAACTGGAATACTGAGAGCCATTTTGGCCCCCTTATCCAAGGTAAGACAGATACACTGGCATTGGAAGCAGTTCAGAGAAGGTTTATTCCTTTAATTATGAATGGAAAGATTTTCATACGCAAAGTTAAGTACTTGATAGAAAACATGATCTTATTGAAGCATACAAAATTCTAAGGAGTCTTAACAGGGTGCATGCTAAGGGGCATGTTTCCCATTGTGGGAGAGACTAAGACAATCTCAGTATAAGGGGATGCCCATTTAAGACAGATAAGAAAGAATTTCTTCTGAGGTCAGTGAATCTGTGATTGTTTACTGCAGAGAACTGCCAGGTCTGTTTTTTTTTAGACAGTGAGGGAATTGAGGGTTATGGGGATAAAGCAGGAAAGTGGGAGATGAGGATTATCTGATCAGCCACAATCTCATTGAATGGTGGAGCAACTAAATGTGTCAAATGGCCTACGTTGTATCTTATGTTTTATCCATTTGTCCAGTTTGCTGCAGATGGTCTGTCTTATCAGCAACAGTCTTTGCCAAACACACTGTTGAATTTAATTGTGCTAAGATCACTGTTGACAGATATTCAAACCGTGTCACCTAAGTCTAGGTCATTACAATATGTACTATGACGTTCTGTCTTATTGGTTCTAGACATGTTGCAGAAGAACTTAGACATATCCAAGAAATTCACCGGTTTACTGACAATGGTTTTCTTTATTTCAAATCTATAAGAAAGTGTAAATGCCCCATGTTAAAACCAGCCTGCCTTTGCTACATCCATGTTTAATCACTGCATTTATACAAGCTACCACTTCACTGCTGCTACCAGATGCCTAATCACAATTATATTTCCTTATTATTGAGATTTCATTCTTAACCACCAAGGTTTCACTCTTCTAAGAGTAAAGGGCAAGTTCAGCAAGGCCAAGGAGCCCCAGATGTCAATGGACATTGAGTTTGAATAAGAAAAAGAAGGAAACCTATGTTAGGTACAGAGCATGACAAAAAAGAGAGACCCAATAGGAATATAGTGCATGTAGGGGAGTGCTATGAAATATCTTTGGCAGGTAGGATTAAGGAAAACCTCAAGGCGTTTTATAAGTATGTTTAAGAGCAAGAGGATTACCAGGGAAAGAGTGGTGCCTGTTAGAGACCAAGGGATTTGGTGAAGTCTTGAGTGAATACCACTGATCTGTATTCACAAAGGAGCTTATTATAGCCCCTCATTATTGAGATTTCATTCTTAATCACCACATTGTAACTGGAGATTTTAGTTGGGATATTAAGGTTCTAAAGCACATTAAGATTAAGTAGCAGGGAGTATTAGATGTTTTAGTGGACATAAAGGTGTATAAATCCTTGGGGGTCGATGAAATATATTACGGTCTGCTATTGGAGGCAAGGGAGGAGATTGCTGGGGCTCTGATGGAGAAATTTGATACTTCACTGTGTACTGGTGAAGTGCTAAATGACCGGAAGATAGCTAATGTGGTTCCTTTGTTCCAGAAGTGCAGCAGGGATAATAGGCCAGTTAATTGCAGACAAGTTGGCCAGATATCATTGGAAAAAAGTTCTGAGGGGCATGATTAATCAACACTTGGAAAGGCAGGGGTTGATCAAGGATAGTCAGCAGGGGTTTATTGGAGGGGGATCCTGTGTGTCTAATTTAATTGAATTTTTTTGAAAAGGTGACTGAAAATGTTGATGAGGGTAGTGCTGTTTATGTGGTTTATTTGGATTTCAGTAGGGCCCTTGACAAGGTCTCATTTGGAAACCTGTCTAAAAGGTCAGCCTGTGGGATCTGAGGCAAGTTTGTAAACTGGAGCCATTATTGGCTGACAAATAGGAGGCAAAAGTTGTTGGTGGAGGGTTGTTTTTCTAATTGGAAGCCCGTGACCAGCTGTATACCATAGGGATTGGTGCTGGGATCCTTGCTGTTTGTTATGTACGTTAACATCTTGGACGTGAATGAAAATGGTATAATTAGTGAGTTTGTAAATGGCACAAAAGTGGCGGTGGTGAAAGTCTAGTATTGATCAGCTGATAACTTGGGCAGAGCAATGGCATATGGAGTTTATTCCTAATAAGTGTGAAGTGACGCATTTTGAGAGGTCTAATAAAGGAGGGGTTTACTCAATGAATAGTAGGTCCCAAGGGGTACTGAGGAATAAAGGGACCTTGGTGTACAAGTTTATAGATTCCTGAAAGTGTCAGCATAGGTGAAGGCAGGGTAGTGAAGAAGGCATACAGGATACTTGCCTTCACGAGCTGGGTGTATAAAATAGGAGCAAGGAAGCCTTGTTGCACCTTTATTGAGCATGGGTTAAGCCACACTACTGTGTGCAGTTCTGGTCATCACACTCCTGGCAGGACATGATCGGACTGGAGAGGGTGTGGAGGAGATTCACCAGGATGTTGCCTGGTATGGAAAGTCTGTTAGGAGGAGAGACTGGATAGTAGCTTGGTTTGTTTTCCCTGGAGCAGAGGAGGCTGAGGGGAATCTGATTGAGGTATAGCTAATTGAGAGACATGGATAAAGTAGATAGTGAGAATCTTTTCTTCATGGTAGATGAGTCTAAGATCAGAGAGTATAAGTTTAAGATGAGGAGTAACTGGTTTAGTGGGATCTGAGGGAATGTTTTTCACCCCAAGGTCAGTGGAAATATGGAACTCACTGCCCGAGAGGTATGCTTGCAACATTTAAGGAGCATCTGGGTGAGTATTTAAAATGAATTTCTCTCTCCTGTACTTGTGGTGCCTAAAGCACAACTTCTGACTGTCACTCTCAACTTTTGTTTGATCTTCAACAGTCATTTATACAACCTTTTTTGCTTTACTCTTACAACAAACTTATTAACTTAAATTCCCTGTGATTGCCCTATTTAGTCTTTTAACAAGAATCATAGTTCCAGCTTGGTTTAAGTGAAGCCTGATCCAGTGCTGGTGCCAGTGTTCCATGAAATGGAAACCCTCTTTCCTATGCCAATTCTTCAGCCATAAGTCACTTCCCTAATTTGATTTTCTGTGACTTGGGTATTCAAATTTTATGGTGGTACGAATCAGGCTGACTCCTGCATCCTCATTCCCAACCAGAGGTGCTGATGTCTGACTCCACACCAGCAAGGGATGAAATTTATGTTGTGAAGCTATGAAATTTCAAATGTAGTAAATGAACTGCATACTGAAAGGGAGAATGGTGAAATGACCATAAGATGTAGGAGCAGCAATAAGCCGTTTGGCCTCTGGTCCACCATTCAATTTGATGATCCTCAACTGCACTTTTCTTCCTTTACCTCATAATCCTGATTTCCTTACTGGTTTAAAGATCTATCTGTCTTGGCCTTGGATATACTTGACAGTCCAGCTTCTACATCCCTCTGTGATAGAGAATTTACCAGATTTCATTACCTCTGAGAGAAGAAATTCCTCTGTGAATATGAGATGAGATTGTAAGGTGGATATTATGCTCAGATTGATGAGTAAAGCTGTTTCATTTTCGACAGGGCAGTGGAGCAGGAGTTGGAGAACTGTTCTGTACCTGCAGATGTGAAGCCAATTCTGCAAGAAGAGACTAAGCACTTGGAACTTGTTCACTTGCAATACTTCCAGCTCTGGTACTTGCTCTGTGTTCTGGAGGCGCAAGCTGTTGATAAGAAGGGAGGACTGAAAAATATCTGGCTGCATTCTGCAGAGGAAAGGTGAGAAAGAATCCACAGTAGATGAGAGCCATTGTGATGTGAAGTGTATTTGTGTAGGCAGGTGGAGGGGTATGGAATTTGCTGTAGCCAGATGGGATGGCTTGGTTGTTCGGTATGTGAGGTGGAGCTTGGTGTATGATCTTCACAGGCCGATACAGGAGGGGATTTGTGGAAATCAGATCTCAAATGGTTCAGAATTCCAAGATTTGGGATAATGGGATCTTCCTGTGGCTTCTGTGTTTGATTTAGGATTGAACTTACAGGTGCGTATCTGGCACAGGGTCAGTGTTGCAGACAGAAATGAAAACAGAAATTGTAGGCAAAACTCAACAGGTTCATGTTCTGCAGTCAATTCAACTTCTGAAGAAGGGTCACTGGACCTAAAATGTTAACTCTGCTTTCTCACAACAGATTCTGCAAGATCTGATGTGTGTTTCCAGCATTTTTAAAATTTTGTTTGTTTCTTTGATTTCCAGCATCTGCAGTTTTCTGATTTATTTGTAGACACAGATGATGAATTTTCAATGACCTCAGTCACCACTTCTGAGGATCATTAGGTCTCAGAGAATTTATTTATTAAAGGTCTGGAATCAAGCAGTTGCTGATTATTTTATATATTCTACATCTGATCATGGTGTTCAAGATTTAAAGTTTATTCTAACACATTTGGCTTCAAAATCATTAGCTTTATTTGAATCTTGAAAATTGCCATATTCTCTCAGGTGTTTACTCCCATAAGTGAATCTCAACTCCAGTGATCCAGATTTGCACCTTAATCTGCTAAATATTGTATCTAGATAAGTAGTATCAAATCCCAAGGACTGAGATACACATCTTGCTGGAGATGTTTTCAACATTGATTTTTGGTATATTGTCCAAATGGTTATTCATCACTTGAACAACATGCCAAATTCTAGCATCTCTAATCCTGATATCTGATTTGGCTGTTGATCAGGAACCCTGGTCAATTTTTCTCCTAACCAGAGAAAACAGTTGCACTGTTGAAAATGAAAGCTTTGTTTGAGTGTCAGTATTGCACTCTGTATTGAGAAGGCGTTGGAGGAGATTCTCCATTTATTTTGTCATAGCAGTGTGATTTTGAGTTAATTTTCCAGGACTAAGAAGAGCGGTGTAATGTTTTTGACATTGTTTAATGTTTACGTTTGGATTATTTTGTTTCAATAGGGAACAGCAGGGATGCTGTGTTGCTAACCTTGTGCGCAGTGGTTGCATCCAGACCATTGCTGATGGACAGTACGAGCATAAGTTCACACGGAGGACTGGGTCAATATTGAAAACTGCATTAATGGTTGGAGACAGAGTGGTTGTAAGTGGTCAGGAGAAAATGCTGCTTGCTGTCTCTTCTGGATATGTCACTGACATCTGCTCATTGCAGATCACATGTACATTAGATCGGTAAGGGATCCATTCATGTCAGGATTCTGTCAGAAGTATTGAACCTGAAATCCAATAGGAGAACTTTGACTGGAATTTATAACTTTCTTCTGGGATTTTATGGGATGCAATTTTATGCAAGGAGTCAGTCTGTAGAAACCAACTAGAAAAGAAAATGTAGAGATCTAGTCCTTAATGTGACAATACAATACTAGATACTACTAGATTTATTGTTAACTTACCTTCAAGTGGGACAAGATTTATGTCCATCCCTAATTGCCTGTGAATTGATTGGCTTGCTGGGCCATTTCAGGTGACAATTAAATGTCAACCACAATGCTGTGGATCTAGTTTTACATGTAGACCTGACCAGACCAGTTATGAACATAAGAAATGTGTGCAGGAGTAGGCTATTCAAACGCTCAACCCTATCTGGACAATATTTAAAATCATGCCTGTTCTACCCTACCTTTCATCCCAGGAACAATCTGGTGAATCTGTTTTGCACTGCTTCTAATGCCAGTACTATTTTTTTAAAATATGGGGATCACAACAGTACACTGTACTCTAGGCCTCACCTGTGCATTTGTAACATGACTTGTCTATTTTTAAACTTCAACCCCTCAACAACTAAAAACCAAAATTCCATTTGCTGCCTTAATTACTTCTTGCACCTACATGCTGGTGTCTTGTGTTTCACATGAAAGAATGCTCACAACATCCTGTGTTGTACTTTTTTGGAGTCTATCCGTCTAAATAATGGTGTGTCTCATGATACTTTCCTCTTGTGCTATACTTCGTACTTTCCTTCGTTGAACTCCATCTGCAAAGTTTTTGACGACTCACTTGATTTATCTATATCACTTTACAGATTCCTCGTGTCCTCATTGCAACGTACCCTCCCAAGTAAAAGTGACAGGTTTTTTTCCCTGAAAGTGAACCAGATTTTTTTATAACTCTTAATGACATTTGTTATCGTTACTGAGACACGTTCTTAATTCCAGATTTAATTAATTGGATTAGTGAGATTTGAGCCCACGTGCCCAGAGATGGACTCTGGAATAGTCCAGTGACTTGCAGTTGCAACAGCTTCAATGCTGGCAGATCACCATTACTACTTTTGGCACTTAGTTCAAATCTGAACCATTTGTTTCTTTCTATCAACTCTATCCAAGCCATAATTATATTAAATACCTCTATTAAATACCTCTGTTAAATCTCCTTCAAGCCTCTAAGTGAACAGTCACAATTTCTCCAATCTGAAATACTGTCCCCCTCATTATGGAACAGTTCTTCTCAGCATCCTCTTAATGCCTCATCCTGCCTAAAGTGTGTTGCCTAGAACTGAATATAATACTCCCAGTTGAGGCTGAACCAGCATTTAAAAGATGTTTGACATAAGTATGAAAGGAAGCATGTTACTATTCTTATTGATAAATCCTGGAATTCCTTGTGCTTTATTAACTCCCCTCTCAACCTGCGCTACCATCTTCAGTGATTGCTGAATATATATATATATATATATATATCCCCCCTTCCCATTTTAGAAACGGGCCCACTTTATTTTGCCTTTCCATGTTCTGTGTATGAAATGAAACGCTTCACATTTTATTGCCACCTATGCATCCATAATGTCAATCTGTATTGGTTCCCTTGTATGTTAGCTGCCAAAGTCTTCTCATACTTCCTGTTTGTTTCTGTTATTAGTGTTTTAAAGTTTTGTTCCAAACCCTCTATATTTATCCAATAAGGCAAAAAAAGTGCGGATGCTGGAAATGTGAAATAAAAACAGAAATTTCTCGGGACATGCAGCAGGTCTGACAGGAGAAAGCAGTTAATGTTTCGAGTTTGGTGACTCTTTATGAGAACCGATAACAGCTAAGAAAAGCTAGGTATTTATGCTGAAGATGAGATTGGGTATGGTGGCAAAGAGGTGAGCCGATAGGTGGAGACAGAGAGCTATGAAAGGGGTACAGTCATAGAATCACACAACATGGAAACAGACCCTTCAGTCTAACAAGTCCATACCAACCGTGTTCCCAAACCAAACTAGTCCTACCTGCCTGTGTTTGGTCCATATGCCTCCAAACCTTTGCTATTCAAGTACTTAACTAAATGTCTTAAACATTGTAAGTGTACCTGCATCCACCACTTCCTCTGGCAGTTCATTCCACACACTAACCGCTCTATGCAAAAAAAAATTGTCCATAAGACTTTTCTAAATCTTTCTCCTCTCACCTTAAAAATATTCCCACAAGTCTTGAAATTCCCCACCATTGGAAAAAGACATCTGCCATTCATCATAGCTATACCCCTCATGGTTTTATAAACCTTTATAAGGTCACCCCTCAACCTCCTATGCTCCAGTGGAAAAAGTCCCAGCCTATTTTTAGAACTCAAGCCCTCCATTCCCAGCAACATCCTGGTAAATCTTTTCTGAACCCTCCCTAGTTTAATAATATCCTTCCTATAACAGGGCAACTAGAACTGCACACAGTACTCCAGAAGAGGCCTCACCAACATCCTGTACAACCTCAAATTGACCTCCCAACTCATATGCCCAAAGGTCTGAGCTATGAGGGCAAGTGCTAAATGCCTTCTTAATCAACCTGTCTACCTATGATGCAAAATTCAAAGAATTATGTACCTGAATCCCTAGGTCTCTCTGTTCTACAGCATTACCCAGGGCCCTACCATTAATTGTATAAGTCCTGCCCTTTTACGCAATGCAATACTTCGCATTTATCCAAATTGAACTGCATCTGTCACTCCTCAGCCTATTGACCCAATTGATTAAGATCTCTTTGTAATCTTAGATAACTTTCTTCACTGTCCACTATACCACCAGTTTTGGTGTCATTCGCAAACTTACTAACCATGCTTCCTTTATTCTCATCCAAATCATTTGTACAAATGGTAAACAAAAATGGACCTAATAACTGATGCCCGTGGAATACCGCTGGTCACAGGCCCTCAGTTCAAAAAATAACCCTGCACCCCGACCCTGTGTCATCTCCTGTAAAGCCAATTATGTATCCAGTTGGCAAGCTCGTGCTGAATCCCATGTGATCTAACTTTACTAATTAGTCTACCACGTGGAACCTTATCAAAGGCTTTTCTAAATTCCAAGTAAAAGCGTCTACCGCTCTGCCCTCATCAATCTTTTTGGTTACTTCCTCAAAAAACTCAATCACACTTGTGAGACATGATTTCCCTTGCATAAAACCAAGCTGACTGTCTGTAATCATTCCTTGCCTCTCCAAATGTATGTAAATCCTATCTTTAAGAATCACCTTGCCCACCACTGATTTCAGACTCTTAGGTCTGTAGCTCCCAGGCTTCTAATTTAGAGCCTTATTTAAATAAATACACAGCATTAGCCACCCTCCAGTCTTCCAGCACCTCCCTCATGGTTACAGATGATACAGATAATGATATTTCTGCCAGGGGACCCGCAATTTCCTCCCTAACTTCCCACAACGTCCTAGGATACACTTGATAGGTCCCAAAGACTTATCTACCTTTGTTTTCTAAGATCTCTAGCACTTCCTCTTCTGTAGCGTGAACTGTTTTCAAAACATCAATATTTATTTCCCGGAGTTCTCTAGCCTCCATTTCTTTGTCCACAGTAAAATCTATGCAAAATATTCATTTAATATCTCTTCCCATCTCCGGAGGTTCAACACAAAGATAACCTCATTGATCTTTAAGGCGGACCTACTCTCTGTAGTTGCTCTTTTGGTCTTAACTTATTTGTAGAATCTCAGGGTTATCCTTAACCTTACCTGCCAAGGCTATCTCATGTCCCCACTTTGCCTTCCTGTTTTCCCACTTAAGAATGTCCCTGTACTCTTTATACTCTTCAAGAGATTCATTTGATCCCAGTTGTCTATGTCTACTATATGATTTTTTTATTCTTGTCTAGAACCTCAGTATCTTTTTGCATCCATTGTTCCCTAGGTAGATCACTATCCACTAAATGTTCATATCTTGACGCCTGACCCATTTCATTTCCAAGAACCAGATCTAATAATGTTTCCTTTTTCATTGGACTAGAAACACACTGATGTAGGAAATTTTCCAGAAAACTGTCTATAAACTGTTGCTGTCAGTCAGCCCTTTACATATTTCTATCTCGTTCTACTCTTGATCATCAGCAAACTTATGGAAGTCCAGTGAATAGTGCTGTGACATAGCACTTGTATTGTAATAATGTGCTCGCTTTGAAGTCCCCTACTCAGCTGCGGATCTCAGTGCTGGCTTTTTAATTCACTTGTGGGATGCATGTATCACTGGCTGGCCAACATTAATTGTCCATCCTTAGTTGCCCTTGAGAAGATTTTAGTGAGCTATCTTCTTCAATCACCGCAGTACATGTGCTGTAGGTAGAACACATTGCTGTTAAGAAGGGAATTTCAGGATTTTGACTCAGTGACACTACAGGATGCCAATGTATTTCCATGTCAGGATAGTGAGTGCTTTGGAAGGGAACTTGTAGGTGTTGGTGTTCCCATGTATCTGCTGCCCTTGTCCTTGTAGATGGAAGTGGTCATGGGTGTGAAACGTGTTGCCTAAGGATCTTTGGCAAATTTATTGTAAATAGTATGCATTGCTTTTACAGGTGATGGAGAGTGTGGATGTTTGTGGAAGTGGTGCCTGTCAAGTGGGCTGATTTGTCTATGATGGTGTCAAGCTTCTTGTGTTGTTGGAGCTACACTTATCCAGGCAAGTGGGGAGTATTCCATCATACTCCTGACTTACGTGGAACATAGAACAATACAGCATAGGAAGGGCTCTTTGGCCCACAATGTTGTGCTGAACATGACGCCAAATTAAACTAATCCCTTCTACCTGCACTTGATCTATATCCCTCCATTCCTTGCATATTTATGTGCCTACCTAAAAGTCTCTTAAATGCCCCAATCATATCTGCCTCCACTACCACTCCTGGCAGAGTGTTCCAGACTCCTATCACTTTCTGTGTCTATAAAAACAATTGCCCCTCACATCTCCTTTGAACTTTCTGCCTTTCACCTTAAATGCATGCCTCCTAATATTAAATATTTCAACTCTGGGAAAAAGAATCTGACTGTCAACCCTTTCTCTGCATCTCATAATTTTATAGACGTCGATCAAATTTTCCCTCGGCCTCCACCGCTCCAGAGAAAACAACCCGAATTTTTCTAGCCTTTTCTTATAGCTCATATCCTTTAATCCAGGCAGCATCCTAGTAAAACTCTTCTGCACCCTGTCCAAAGCCTCCACATCCTTCCTGCAATGTGGTGACCAGAACTGAACACAGCACTCTAAATGTGGCCTAACCAAATTCTTATAAAGCTGCAACATGACATCCTAACTCTTGTACTCAATTCCCTGACCAATAAAGTCAAGCATGGCGTACTACTACTTTACCACCCTATCTGCATGTGTGTGGCCACTTTCAGGGAACTATGGACTTGAACCCCAAGATCCCTCTGTACATCAATATTGTTCAGTGTCCTATCATTAACTGTATACTTTTCCTTAATATTTGATCTCCCAAAGCGCAGCACCTCACACTGACTCGGATTAAACTCCATCTGCCATTTCTCCACCCATACTTGCAACTGATCTATATCCTGCTGTATCCTTTGACAACCTTTTACATAATCCGCAACTCCACTGATCTTTGTATCATCTGCAAACCTACTAGCCTAGCTGTCTACATTTTTATCTAAGTCACATACATATCACAAACAGCAGAGATCCCAGTCTGGATTCTTGTGGAGCACCAATAGTCATGGACCTACAGCCTGAAAAACACTCTTCCACCACTACCCTCTGTTTTCAATGGGCAAGCCAATTCTGAATCCAAGCAGCTAAGCCACCATGCTTCCCATGCATCTTAATCTTCTAGATGAGCCTACATGAAGGACCTTGTCGAAAACCTTACTAAAATCAATGTACACAACATTCGCTGCTCTACCTTCATCAACCTTCTTTGTCACCACCTCGAAAAATTCAATTAAGTTAGTAAGACATGACCTGCACTGCAGAATGCCATGCTGACTGTCCCTAATTAGGCCATGCTTTTCCAAATGCGACAAATCCTATCCCTAAGAATTCTCTCCAGTGGCTTCCCAACCACCGAAGTGAGACTCAACAGTCTATGGTTTCCTGGACTTATCCCTATTTTCTTTCTTGAACAGTGGACTAGTGCCTTATAAATGGGGACATGCTTTGGGGAGTTAGGAGGTGAATTACTTGTTGCAGTACTCCTAGCCTCTGACCTGCTGTTGTAGCTTCTGAATTTGTATGGTGAGTCTAGTTGAGTTTCTGGCCACTGAATGAACAAGCTGAATTCTAGAAGGTGAGAGTGACTGACCTTGGCATCAAGGTGTCCTAGCAAGCCAATGGGAATTAATGGGAAAGCGCTCTCCTATTTGGAGTCATAACTTACACGAAAATGGTTGCTGCCCTGGATGACTCGTTGGAGTGACCTACAGCTTGGGAAGCCCTGATCTACAAGGGAATAGTAAGGAATAGTTTTCACCTGCATGATTGAATTCAGCTCCACCATTATAATAAATTCAACACCATCCAAGACAAAAAGCAGCTGTTTGATAACTGTGCAAGCCATCCATTTTGTACATTTACTCCCTATACCACTGTTACATGATGGTAGCCTGTACCATCTAAAAGATACACTCCAGAAATCACCAAGTCTTTGACAGTTCTATCTAAACCTATGACCGGTATCTCTCAGAAGAATAAGAGTAGCAGACTTGTGGGAGCACCACAACTTGTAAAATTCCCTGCAAGCCAAAAACAATCCTCACTTGCAACTATGTTGCTATTCCTTCACCATCATGTCAAAGTTGTGGAACTCCCTTGCTAATAGCAATTTAAATGTGCCTATAAACTAGGGACTGCAGTAGTTCCAAAAGTGGCTTCCTGCCATCTTTAGAAAAGCAGTTTGAGATGGGCAGTCAATGCTGTTCTTGCCAACGATGCTTACATCTGATGAATTAATTTAAAATAGTTTTATGGATAATGACTTGCACCCTTCAATCATTTGTTTAGAGTTCTATAAATGGAGAAGTTCCATGCTCTTGCCATTTTGTGCTTTAAATATACCAGAGTCAGAATGTAATATCACATTGGTGATACCACATTGAAAATAACTCTTCATTGTTATGCAGGAACCTCTCAAGGCTGCCTCTAGAAACAATCTTCAGACTTGATCATGAAGAGGGAGTTGGAAATGTGAACATTCATTTAGGGAATCTTTCGAAGTTGATGGAACAATCTGTAGTCAGGTAACTGTGGGTGGATAAAACGGATTGCTTTGTACTTTTTTTTAATTTTCATGGTCAGCCAGGTAGGGCAATACCAGTTCCCTAGGTAATAGAGCATATTATCATGACCATCAAACTGGACTAGCAGGCATTAAATAATGTATAACTCAATTTTTTTTTGAACTATGTGATCTGGACTTGGGTATGTCGGTTATAGTGTCAAAGTTTGCAGATTTTATGAAACTCGAATACAGTGAATATTGTGGGAAGTGGTAGATGTCAGGAAATTATAAGTGAGCTAGAAGAATGATGGGAGGCAATATGCTTCAATTTTTAAAGGTGTGCAGGAAAAAAATCTGACCTGTACGTAAAGCAGTCTTTCAATATGGCAGACAAAGTTAAAAGGCTGCCTTTTTTAAACAAAACGCCTGTTGGTGCCCTCGCTTTATCAATGAAGCATAAATCTTTGACAATTATGCTTCCAGGATACCTGACATTTTTAAAAATGGGCAAATGGAGAAGACTTTTGGAGTGGTGTGGCTTAGCCCTGATAATGAAGGCTGACATATTAAACGCTTAGTAGTACAAAACTTGAGTACTGCTGAAAACATTCCCATTTACTCAAAGCTTTTTGTCTTGCACTCAGAATTCACAAGAATACTGATTTAAGGGGAAAACCAACATTCTCATTCTATGAAAGGGGAGAACTGGTTAGTTGGCAAGGGGATGCTGATTGGGGGCAATGCCATTGAGAATGCACCAGTTAATAATTAACAATTAACTAGGCAGGTTGTCTCCGGTCAGGGCATTGCCTAAGAAATTAACCAGTGAATAGTGTCACCTATTTTGTTGAGTTGAAGTAGGCACAGGGCGTGTACACGTTCTTTCTGTCTGCAGGAACAGGGCCCTGCATATTAATATATGTAGTTTCCAGTATAGATATGCCTCATTTTTAGTCCAACAGATAATCCTACATTTGATGTCTTGACACACCTAGCAAATATTGTCGAATTGTAGAATTATATCTAAATTTGGAAGTTTGAGTTTTGCAAGTTTGGCTGGTTGGGTACCTTGTTGCGAACAGCTGAAGGAATGTGCTGTTTGAATGATCTGCCACCGAGCTGGTTCATTGTTGTTCAGCAGACGTTTCATTACCCTGCTGGGTAACATCATCAGTGCAGCCTCCGATGAAGCGCCATTGTGTTTTCCCGCCTGGTTTTTAAACTCTGGATTCCGTTGAGCTGGATTACCTCACTTATGGTTTTCCTTCGCAATGGACTGTATATGGGCAATGTACATGTTGCCCGTTTATACAACACACTGCATTAGCACAGAACTACACCGAGAAGTAAAAGAATACCTCTTACAGGTATTCAAGGACAATGGATATCCAAAAACCTGGGTCAGAAGATGCCTATTACATGAACAACACCAAGAAGATACTACACGCCCCAACACACATCACGCTACCTTACGTCAGGAACACATCGGAACTAACACAAGACTCCTACGACTGCTGGGCATCAGAGTGGCACACAAACCCACATCAACCCTATGACAACTGCTTACCCAAACCAAAGATCCACTACCCACTATGGACAGGACCAATGTCATATACAAGATTCCCTGCAGAGACTGTGACAAACGTTACATTGGACAAACAGGAAGGAAATTAACAACAATTTCACGAACACTAATTGGCTACAAAAAGACATGACCAATACTCACTCATCTCTATCCACATGGATAAGGAGAACCACCAATTCGATTGGGACAACACCAAGATCCTGGAACAAGCAAAGCAGAGGCAGGCACGGGAGTTCCTAGAAGCCTGATACTCCACGAAGAAAGCCATCAACAAACACATAGAACTCGACCCCATGTATACTCCATTGCGAAGGAAAACCGGAAGTGAGGTAATCTAGCTCAGCAAACTCCAGAGTTTAAAAACCAGGTGGGAAAACCCAACGGCGCTTCATCGGAGGCTGCACTGATGATGTTACCCAGCAGGGTAATGAAACGTCTGCAGAACAACAACGAACCAGCTCGGCGGGCGAGCCAACCAACCTCAACATCCTCAACCCGGGCTACAAATCTCCAAAACCTTGGAGATCTGCCAGTTTTTGACATCTAAAGCCTATATACTTGACATCTCCCTGACATTGAAATTTATATACCACATTACTCAGATAAAACTGGTAGGAGTAGTTATAGGCCAACAATGGCTATTGTGTATTCTTTAAAAAAAATACAAAGACACTCCAGGTAACAGCTGGCAGGTCAGTTTAAAGTTAGTGACAGGTATTAGTTCAAAAACAACAATCAGAAAAAAAACTCAACAGGCAGCAATTGAAGAGGTTTGAGTAGATTAAGGAATGCAGCACAAATTTGTGAATAATTGTGATTAACAAATTTGTTTTTTGATGAAGTGATAGGATAGGTGGATAGTGGATGTTAGTGTTTGAAAAGTACTACATAAAAGGCTCTTAGCATTTCCAAACAGATTGTGTGTGGGTGAGAGAGAGGGAAGGTGTGGGAGTGAGAGCATCCGTCTGGGTGGATGGATTGGAGAACGAGTGATGTTGGGAGTAAAGGATTTGTTACGCATAGGGAAATGTGTGAACTCTTGAGGCTGGGGCACGCTGGCATCCTTTCCCTTCTCCTCCACCCCCTCAAAAAAAAGCAGACTGGGGGAGGAGGAAGTTCCTCACTAAAGGCAGTCTGCTTCTGAACCCCACTTAAGTATGAATTCCACCAAAGTTTAAAGGGTATGCCACTAGAGGTTAATCAGGGTCATTGTTGTTTAAACCTAACTCCTCAACTTGGTCCTGGTTCCATCTCATTCTGAGGTGATCAGGACTCAGGGCCTGGTCTTACTCTCTAGTTCTGCTTCCTAACCAAAAAGGCCAGAAACGAAAAGGTTTGTTTGTTTGGCACTTTTCATTGGCTATTTTTGTTTGTTGCTCATTTATTTTATTGATCTATTGCTTTAGAAATGTTTTCTCCTGAAATTCATATTTACCGTTATGCCAAATCATAATTTCTGAAATATTCGAACAAGCTCCCAGGTGAGAGTAAACTTGACATTTTGCACCCCCGTCCCCATGCACATTGTTTGAAAACTTTGTATTCTGTCCTCTTGAACGCTCCGAAGTCAGGTGTACACAGCATAAAGAGCAAACACAGGAAAAGTACAGGTCTTGTATTCAGTATAAAGCCTAGTGATACCATGAGAATACCTTGCAATACAATCCCAATGCATACTTCTTTATACATTTATTTGAACCAATATGCTATCAAAATAATGAGCATTTCTGTATTTTCTTAGTGATAAACTACGGAAATTGATCATAGACCTCAGGCCTCCACAGTTCATTCCTTTCCTGAGCACTGTACTCCCAGGGGAAGCAAAGGAAACTGTGGCCAATATTTTGCGAGGTACACTGTATTTGCTATACTTTCTTCTGGTGTCTTTCAGCAATTCAGATGAATAAATCAGTTTTAACATACTGGAATAAATATGACTGCCCTCTCCATCACCCTCTTTGTTTAGGGCCTTTATACGTGCCCACTTTCGTGCTTTTCCTTCCCTCCTTGCACACTCCCGTCGCTCCTTCCTGCCCCTCCACCTTTCACCTACTTTTCCTCTCCTCTATGCTCCCCTTCCCTCTGCTTCCTCTTGTGCCTACACATCACCCCCTGCACTTCCTCTGAACTCTCCAACTATTTTGTTTTGTCTCACCCTCTCCCATCGTGCTCCCACACTCTTTAGTTCAGCCACTGAAACTAAAGTTATTTTCTTCCATTCAAAGGCCTGAACAAACCTCAGAAACAAGCAATGAAGCGGGTACTACTTTCCAAGGACTACACACTCATCATGGGCATGCCTGGAACAGGCAAAACTACCACTATCTGTACTCTGGTAAGGGAAAGTGTCCAGGATTGTAGCACATGGTATTATAGGAAAATTGCGAATGCTCTCTGCCTAGATTAAGGGGTTAGCTGTCTGTAGGGCAGGGCCCAGTCACTGGTGTCAGCTCCTGATCAGGCAAAGAAAGGAACCGTTGGGTATTTCCAGCTGCTGGATACTTTAGACTTTGGTTTTATTATTTACAGTACAGTATCATGTTCCTGTGGACATGAAAAGCTTATTTTGTTATTGGTTTTGAGGTATATTTAGGTTATTTTGTCCTTTTTTTTTCAGGTGAGAATCCTTCATGCCTGTGGTTTCAGTGTCCTCCTGACAAGTTACACTCACTCAGCTGTTGATAACATTTTGTTGAAACTGGCTCGTTTTAAGGTGGGCTTCCTGCGTCTGGGACGTTTCCAAAAGGTTCATCCTGACATTCGAAAATTCACAGATGAGGACATTTGTAGAAGGAAATCCATCCAAACCCTAACTGAGCTGGAAAGGCTGTATAAAAGTGAAGTAAGTAAGGCCTTGGTTTAGTTTGACTCTGCATCATGCTGCAATAATAGGTCCACAGTATCTAGGTGTCCTCTTTTATTTCTCTCAGGTGGCCAATTTTTTTGTGAATCTATTCTTTGACCTATCTAGCTGCAGAATACATCTCAGAGTAGTCTATTGGACAAGTCAGTGTACTCTATAAAACACAAAGGGTATACGTATGAGGAGTAGATACCCTGTTCACTTTTTATTTATTGTTTCACCTCCTTAACTGGCCAAAGTGCAAGTGACATGTTACCAAGGCAACATTTGACTGCGACATCAAGGAACCTTGGAAAACTAAAGTTATTGGGAAGTAGGGACAAACTCCTTACTGGAGTTGTGCCTAGCACAAAGGAAGATGATTGTGATTATTAGAGGCCAGATTACTACAGGAGTTCCTCTGGGTCATGTTCTTAGCCCAACCATCTTTAGCTGCTACATCAATGTCCTTCCTTCCAACATTGTGCCATTCACAACTTTCCCTGACGTTTAATGCATTGCGATTGCTGAATTCGCCACCTTTTTACACTCTGGGGGTTACTACTGACCTGAAATTTAATTAGGCCAGCCTCATAAATATTGTGGTGTGAGAGCAGGTCAGAGGCTGGGAATTCACCTTCTGACTTGCCCAAAACCTGTCCACCATCTAGAAGGTTCACGCCAGGAATGTGATGGAATACTCTCCACTTGTCTGAATACAACTCAAACAACGCCTGAGAGATTTGACGTTCTTCAACCTATTTGATTGATACCCCATCCACTAGCTTCAGCACTCCCTCCCATCACTACCGACAGACAGTCGCGACAGTATGTGTATCTAAGAATGCATTGCAGCAACTTACCAAGGCTCCTCTGATAGCACCTTCCAAACCCATGACCTGTACAGCTTAGAAGAGAAAGGGCAACAGGTCATGGATCACCGCTATATCCTAAAATCTGCTTTCAAGTTATGCACCATCCTTAAAATATATCGCTGTGATAAACATCTGTTGAGTTGCATTTTTTCAAAGTTATTTTACTTTTCTGATGAGTTTATTTAGGATCTTTTTGAGGACATAACAAACAGGGTGGATAAAGGGAACCAGTTGATGTAGATTATTTGGATTTCCAAAGTAGGTTATTCCACAGGATAAGAGCTCATGGTGTTGGTTGTGATTGAGGGTTCTATTTTGGCTGGAAGAACAGAAATGCGGAATATTGTTTAAATGGAACCAGATTAAAGAATGCTGCAGTACAGAGGGATCTGGGTGTTCTATACACAAATGAAAATGTAGGAACAGCAATTAAGAAGTCAAATGGAAAGAAAAATAGAAATCACTGGAAAAGCTCAGCGGTTCTGGTAGCATCTGTGGACAGATATCAGAGTTAACATTTTGGGTCTGGAATGTTGTTCGTTGCAATGGGATGGAGTTTACTACTGTCCAGGACAATTTCGAGACCATACCCACTCTGGAGTACTGTGTACAGATTTGGTCATCTTGCACATAGAGGGATTTACTTGCATTGGAAGCAACTAAATCACTTCCCCAACTCATGTACTTACCCGGCCCATCCCCTTCCTCATGACCTGTAGTCACCTTCGCTTTTTCTCCCATCCCTCCATGACCTGTAGTCACCTGTGCCCCCAAATCCCATGGTCACCCACATTCTCCATGCTGCGCTTTGTCACTTGCCTTGCACCCAGTACCCACAATCAAGTGCTGTCACCCCACCTTAGAATCATAGAACCCCTACAGTGTGGAAACAGGCCCTTTGGCCCAACAAGTCCACACCAAACCTCAGAGCATCCCACCCAGACTCATCTCCCTATAACCCACCTAATCTAGGGCAATTTAGCATGGCCAATTCACCTAACCTGCACATCTTTGGACTGTGGGAGGAAACAGGAGGAAACCCACGCAGACACGGGGAGAATGTGCAAACTCCGCCCAAGGCTGGAATCGAACCCAGATCCTTGGCACTGTGAGGCAGCAGTGTTAACCACTGAGCCACCATGCCGACCTCTCATGGTCACCCATCATCTTCCCTGACTCCAATTACCTACCTTAATTCCTGCAATCCTATGTACCAATAATCCAACTTACAACTCTTCAACCTTCTGATTTTTCTCATTGTCTCAACTTGTCTAATGGTTAGTTTCATGTTTGACACATCTTTCTGGGAATCTAATGCTTAGAATTACCAGAATGATTGATTAAATCTGAAATGTTGTCACTTGTATCATAAATGCTGTAAGTTCATTGTTATGGACCAGACCAAACCCCCTCAAAACATATCTAGGTAATTGCCTAGACCCTAACTTTTGTCTTATTTAAAGGTAAATGTAAGGCACTGACTTCCAGATGTAATTCAATTAGTCAAGCTTTAAGTAAAACACACTTTTTTTATTCTTACACCAAAGTTAAAATCCAAATCAAAAAAAAGGCTTAACTTTAACTTTCAAAATACCATAAGACATAGGACCAGAAATTAGGCCATTCAGCCTATCGTGTCTGTTCTGTCATTCAATCATGGCTGATAAGCTTCTCAACCCTATTCTCCTGCTTTCTCCCTGTAACCCTTGATCCCTTTGACAATCAAGAACCTATCTATCTCTGTCTTAAATATACTCAATGACCTGGCTTCCATAGCCTTCTGTGGCAGTGAATTCCATAGATTCACCACTCTCTGGCTGAAGAAGTTTCTCCTTATCTCCGTTCTAAAAGGTCTTCCCTTTACTCTAAGGCTGTTCCCTCGGGTCCTAGTCTCGCCTACCAATGGAAACATCTTCCCAACATCCACTCTATCTAAGCCATTCAGTATTCACCACTTTGTCTTGGGTGTCTTGAAAAACATTAAGGTAGACAAGTCCCTAGGGCCTGATGGGATATACCCCAGAATACCGAGAGGCAAGGGAAGAAATTGTTGGGGTCTTGAGGGAAATCTTTGTATCGTCACTGGCTACAGGGGAGGTCCCAGAGGATTGGAGAATAGTCCATGTTGTTCCTTTGTCTAAGAAGGGTGGCAAGGATAATCCAGCTAATTACAGGCCAGTGAGCCTTACGTCAGTGGTAGGGAAATTATTGGAGAGGATTCTTCGAGACAGGATTTACTCCCACTTGGAAATAAGTGGGCGTATTAGCAAGAGGCAACATGGTTTTGTGAAGGGGAGGTTGTGTCTCATTAACTTGGTTGAGCTTTTTGAGGAAGTAACGAAGATGATCAATGAGGGTAGGGCAGGACAGTGGATGTTGTCTACTTGGACTTCAGTAAGGCCTTTGACAAGGTCCCTCATGGCAGGCTGATACAAAAGGTAAAGTTGCACGGGGTCAGAGGTGAGCTTGCAAGATGGATAAAAAAACTGGCTCTTAGAAGACAGAGGGTAGCAGTGGAAGGGTTCGTTTCTGAACGGAGGGCTGTGACCAGTGGCATTCCTCAGGGATCAGTGTTGGGACCTTTGCTAATTGTAATATATATAAATGATTTGGAGGAAAACGTAACTGGTCTGATTAGTAAATTTGCCGATGACACAATGGTTGGTGGAATCGCAGATAGCGATGAGGACCGTCAAAGGATACAGCTGGATATAGATCAGTTGGTGACTTGGGCAGAGAGATGGCAGATGGTGTTTAATCCAGAAAAGTGTGAAGTAATGCATTTTGGAAGGTCTAATCCAGGTGGAAAATGTACAGTAAATGGTAGCACCCTTAAGAGTACTGATAGGCAGAGGGATCTGGGTGTACAGGTACACAGGTCACTGAAAGTGGCAGCGCAGGTGGAAAAGGTTGTCAACAAGGCATACGGCATGCTTGCCTTCATCGGCTGGGGCACTGAGTTTAAAAACTGGCAGGTAATGTTGCAGCTTTATACAACCTTAGGCCGCATTTGGAATGTTGTGTTCAATTCTGGTCGCTACACTACCACAGGATGTAGTGGCTTTGGAGAGGGTACAGAAAGGATTTGCCAGGATGTTGCCTGGTATGGAGGGCATTAGCTATGAGGAGAGGTTGGAGAAACTTGGGTTGTTCTCACTGGAACGACAGAGGTTGAGGGGCGACCTGATAGAGGTCTACAAGATTGGACAGACTAGACAGTCAGAAGCTTTTTTTCCATGGTGGAAGAGTCGATTACCAGGAGCCATGGGTTTAATGTGCGAGGGGCAAGGTTTAAAGGTGATGTCCGAGGCAAGTATTTTACATAAGGGATGGTGGATGCCTGGAACTCGCTGCTGGGGGAGGTAATGGAAGCAGATACTATAATGACTTTTAAACGGCGTCTTGACAAATACATGAATCGATGGGAATGGAGGGATACAGTCCCCAGAAGGGTAGGGGGTTTCTAGTTGTGACGGGCAGGCTTTGCGGGCTGAAGGGCCTGTTCCTGTGCTGTAATTTTCTTTGTTCTTTGTCTAGGCAATTCACTATTCTGAATACTTAACAAAATAATATACATATATTATATAATTATATATATTCTAATACTCATCAACTGTTCAACATAGCAGCATCCCATAAACACATCCTTGGCAAGGGAAAATTCAGCAAAACACATTTCCTTCACTTGGTATCTTCACCAGTCCTGGAGAAGGAATACCAACAGAATGAATCGAGCAGCTGAAAGAGTACTCAAGCTTTTGCAGCAGCAGCAGCGGGGAGGGCACTGCATCTAGCAGCTTCATTCCAAAACCCCACTTCCAACAACTAAAAGCAAAAGCCCAAAATCCTGGGTCTGTGTGAGCCTGACTCGACTCAGGTTTCTCTTGTCTACTTCAAAAAAAAACCAAAGCCATGGAGCAGACGTCTCAACACCAAGTTTGTAACACGTCTCTTCAAGAGGACCTGAACAGACAAATCCTTTTTAGAGGCACATATCATCACGTTAACATTTTTCTGCTCTAGTAGTAGTAGTAGTAGTAGTAGTAAAATTCAATCTTCATCAGACAGGTTAAGATTTTACTCACATCTGTATTGCTGCAAACTGAGACTTGCCTCTTAATTGCC